GTTTAACCTTTCGTAATCTAATGTCGGAGATTTTCAGGTTGGAAGAAGTGTAAAAACTGCTCGTGCAAATAGGTGTACACAGCGATTCTGCTCGAACTCTTCTTGTCCACGCGAATGATTGAATGAATGGGTCAGTATGACCATCTATCGGTAGATAATAGGGACCTTAAGAAACCACGACGGCGACGCCAAGGAAGACTTCGATTAAAAAATGAATTTCTACTCTTAGTTAGAATTTCAAAAACGGCTGCAGGAGCTTACTGTCTCATACAGCGCCACAGCTCAACTTCAGCATGACGTATAAAGTAGCCGTTGAGTTCCAAATGGAAATTAAAATAATTTGCCGTCGCAGTTTCGGTTCGCAGACGACGCAAATGTTAGCGATTTCACGTTGTTGTTTTGCATAGGACGGCTAAGAAATGTACAAAGTTTCAAAATTCACGTGCTGAGCTATTGTTCTGCCAATTAGATCTCTTGTTTTTCCACGTCCTCGTTGCCGTCGCCGTCGTGGTTTCTTAAGGTCGCTAAATATCCGCGTGTGTACGGTGTAAATATTGAATATGGTTTGCGTGTAGTCTGTTTACGACCCAGATCGACATAAGATGCGTGAAGTATGGCAATACGAATGTAGACATAGCTCTTTATTGTTATTATAACGACTAAAATTTACATTTCTATTGTCAAGCAAATATGATATAATTTTCTATTGTTTTTATTTCTATTGTTCTACTATTGAAATGTTCTGTTTCTCTTTAATTTAGTTTGCGTTTTTGCGTGAAGTTATGTAAGAATTACGTAACGCCTGTAGCTATTTATTTTCGCCAGTATGGACGATAATTTTCATTGCTAATTGGTTTCAACTAAGTCAGTCGTTTCGTTTATTATGGCTAGCGCCATGTTGCTTTTATCGAAGAGTTTTACTGCCGGACCTGGTTTCGCCATAAATCTCGAATCACCCACTCTCTTATGTACAGATCTTTACATCTAAATAAATGTCCATCTGGCAAATAAATAAAGAGTACATTCGCTTTGTGGCGTCAAACGTGTAGTTATTTGTCGACAGTTTTGCTTTGTAGTGTTAATCTTAGTTTTATTAGATCGGTACTTTTCCTTTTAGATTTCTCATGTATTTTCATATTTTCAAGCAGCAGTATATCATGACAGCGTTATCCAATAAAATTACTTTTTTTGCTCGACAGCAAATAAACGCAGGTCCATGCACTTCATGGCTGTGTTGTGATTTTCTTCAAGCCACCGGTGTGACGATTCTCATTTCTTCTCGATCTGTCCCCGTTCACTGGTTGATCTTGAGTCTACGGCTCGATGCATCAACGAAATTGTATGAAGGTAGATCCTGGACAAAATGTTCGATTCGTCGTTTCGTTATGGCGTTTCGTCGTTTC